AATTTTTTTTATGCTTGTTCTTAATGCATTAAAATATTATTATGAGGGATAATAATCATATGTGCTGGGACTTTTTAAGGAATTCATGTGTTGGATTTCAAAGAATTTTTTTTATGCTTGTTCTTAATGCATTAAAGTGTTATTATGAGGGTAAGACTTGGGGTTGGGAGAAGTTAATAAATGCTAAGATTTTTTTTTTAAATCAAAAAATCAGGAAATTTAGATTGGAAGATTGGAGCTCCCACAAGGCTTGAGGTTAAAAACCCCCTTTTACTTAATATATAGTATAGATCAGGTTAATTAATAGTTTTTGATGATGTAAAAATTTATTTTCATTAATAATTCAAGTAATTTTATTATTATATAAAAGAATAATTAGAATTTTTTTTAATTAATTCTGTTAAATATAAAATTCTAATAATAGAATATTTATCACTGTGTTTGGTTTGAGTTTTCTGGATTAAGTTTTTTAAAAACTGAGTTTTTTTATTTTCGTGTTTTTTTTGTTTTTAGTGAATATTTTTAAAATTTTAAACATTTTTTTTACTTTTTTAGATGCACCTTACTTAGATGTGTCTAAAAAGTAAAAAAATTGTAAAAAAATATTTTAAAAAATTAAGAAATACATAAAAATATAAAAAATGTACTAAATTCTTGTATTTTTTTATATTTTTGGTATTTAGTGAATTTTTAAAAGATTTTTTTTACAATTTTTTTACTTTTTAAGTGTATTTATGTTAGGTGTGTTTAAAAAGTAAAAAAATTACATAAAATACTAAAAAAATTCAGTAAAAACAAAAAAACACGAAAAATAAGAGTGTACAATTTTCTGAAAACTATTTTTAAAAAATGAGAATCAAACAAAGTGTATAATTTTCTTTTTTTTAAAAAAAAAAAAAGAAAAAGAAAGTGTATGTGTTCCCAAGTAAGGGAAAAAGAAAAATGAGGGGAGAACATATGAGGCAAGGGATATGATACAAAGGGCCTAGGCTGGAGAGAGCAAAAAAAAGATTGGAAATGAGATTGGAAGAGGTGAGGAAAAAAAAGGAAGGGCAAGAGATGTTTGAGAATGGGTCTAAAGGGTAGTATAGAAGTAGAGGCAGGGCTACTGCCTACTGAAGGTTGCGGTGGCGGCAAGAGTCGAAGGTAGAGGTAGTAGCTATGGTTGGGGTTTCAAATGTTATGGATGGTGATAGAATTGGTATTAAGGTTTTTGGTATTTAAAGAAAGGAACAATTTTACTTAATTATTATATCAATTTGAATTATAAAATTTTACTTAATTATTTAATGTGACCTTTTCAAAATATTATGAAAATCCACATTTTCAAAATGCTAGGAGTATTTTGTTTAAAAAAAATAAAATTTCACTTGTCGAACAATCGTAAAAAAAATCAACTATGAATTTTGTTAAGTCAGTAAAATTTCACTTCGTTGAAATGTTGTTATAAGATTTTCGATAAAAAATAGACATTGACAACTGATGGTGGTCATCAAAAAATTATCATCAATGGCTGACAATAGTTGTCGACATCTAGAGATGACCATGGCAATTAGAGGTAGTAGAATAATGAAACTAGACTTAAAAGTAGTTTTATCTAAAAAGAAAGTTGTGTCCTTAACATATTTTAGTTGTTTTTAAACTAGTTCAAAATATTTTATAGGGAGCTAAATAAGAAAACAGCTATAATAAGTGGGTGTTTGAGGTTTATTTTTTTGTGATTTTTTTGCTGACTTATTTTTGTCATTAGCGAACCTTTTTTTTAAAAAAATAAAAAATAAAAAAATTAGCCTTCTAAATTCTATTAAATGAGACAAATCAAAAATTTTAAATATATAAGCCAAAATAATAAAAAAAAAAGTTTATTTTGTCTTTTATAATTTTTTTTAATAAAAATTTTCAAATGCAATTTAATTTTTAGATTTATCTACATCAGAGGAATTGGAAAATAAATAAAGATTGACATAATTTTAAAAATGTAATTTATATAAAAATTTCCAAACAGCCTCTAAATTGCTATAAAAAAAGAAAAAGAAAAAAAAGACGAAATAATTTCATTTTAGTATAAGTTTAGAAAAATATTTCAAATTAATAGTAAAATTTATGAATATTAAAAAGTGAAATCATAAATTGTAAAAAGTGGTGAAATGTCCATCCTAAATAGTGTATAAGGTATTAGATTCAATAGAAAATCTTATTTGGTGATAAAGACAAGTTAGAAAATTGCATTGACACTGAAAAGTTATCGAAAAATTGGCCAAAAAAGTCGGCGGTGGTGGCAGTGGTGACCGGCATCAATAGATGGTGATGGTGATGGTGAAGGTGAAATAGATTAATGTGTGATATTCAACAGATAGAGTGTTAAATAAGTAACATATGTAACATTTCAACAGATATATTATTGGTGAGTTTGACAGTTAAGAAAATAGGCTTGATAAATTTCAATAGATTGACAAATTAGATGATTTTAAGAGATAGAAAGATATGTTGATTTCAACATATAGTGTACTTTTAGACAAATTGTGTTCTTTTTTGCCCAAAAAGATTAGAACTGAGTCTAATTAGGAGCAACCCCGTTTTGTAGCTCGAAAATTATGAGACTTGAATGGCCCGAGTCCAAAACGACGACGTTTCGATTTTTTTTTTTTTCTCATTTTTTTTGAAGATGAAGAACATGAGAGTGAAGAAAAAAAAGAAGAAGAAGAAATAAGAGGGAGCTGGAGCTGGAGAACACAAAGAGGGAGCTAAACAACAACATCTTCATCAACACATCATCATCATCAACAACAACTTCATCAACATCTTCATCAACAACAACATCTTCATCAACACATTATCATCATCAACAATTTTTTTTTTTTTTTTAAGATCCAGATCTGCTTAGAAAAAAAAAAAAGAGAAGAGAAAATAGAGTCTGAAAGAGGAACATCTTCATCAACATCATCATCATCATCAACACATTATCATCATCAACATTTTTTTTTTTTCAGATCCAGATCTACTTAGGAAAAAAAAAAAAGAAGAGAAAACATAGTTTGAAAGAGGAGATCGGCGATATCCACTGGCGCAGCCACCATCACCGTCGACCATCTTTTCTCCTTCTTCTTTGTCGCATCTTCTCTCTTCTCTCCTCTTCTCTCATTCTCCTCTCTTCTCTTCTCTCTGTCTGTGTTCGAAAGAAAGAAAAAGAAAGAAAAAAAAAATTGAACAAAATGACGTCGTTTTGGGCGATCAGGCTATTCGAACGAGAAGAATTTCGAATTATGAATCATTTTTCAATTAGGAGTAATGGAGTAAGGAGATAGGACATTTCTATCACTAACAATAGGTGTATAACTTAGGGCTTGGTTTAGGAGGTGGATTAATTTTTTAATTTTTTTGATTATTTTAATATGAGGCTAAATTTTTTTATTTGAGATAAGTTTATTTTTATTTTTTTTAACTTTTTATAAAAAAAATGATATAATTATAATTTAAATGTGATATTTTTTAACCTAAAATTAAATATTTTATTTTATTTTATTTTTATTATTTTAACCCTAACCCAGGATGGTGTGGAGGGGCGTGGTTGCCTAGATGGAGAGAGATGTTGCCATTCCATGGCAGAAGCAATGGCTAGGGGAGGGTTGAGCAAGTGAGGGTTGGGGGTGGAGAGACACCAAGAATTGCGATTTTTCCAAAATATAATAAATCCTATTGTTATAATCAATCACAATAACAAAAAAATATCACATAATACGTATGCTATCCGCGTACAAAAATTTATCGTGGAGTATCCAAAATAATTCCAAAATCCATTAATAGTGTAAAATATCAACCCCACCCGCTTTTGAAGAATGCGCATCATACGACGCAGCCTCACTAGCATGGCACGTAGCATACAGTTCCAGAAGGGCGCGTAAGAACATTTCCCTTCCCAAAAATTGAAATCCTAACCGACGAGCGGTTTGCCATGTTAATCAAACCACAACACCCAAAACACCTTTCCAAAACTATCTTAATCACCATCTTGCCCCTCTTCTTCATCCCCTATATATACCCTGCTTGTGTTTAGTCAGGTTTGCCCAAATGGAGACCCAAACACCACTCCACTCCATCAAAATAAAATAAATAATAATTTCCTTTCTCTCTCTTCACTCTCCCTCTCTCTCTCTCTCTCTACTGGTACAACAATGGAGTCGTCGTCATCATCATCGTCTAGAACCAAATCAAACAGACCAGCACTTCACTGCAGCTTTCAGAGATCAACCTCTCCTTCAGGACGATTCTGCTCTTCTTCAATCTCTTCTTCCTCATCGGCTTTCAATTCCTCAATCTCTGGTTTCTCTTCTCAACCTTCCTCGTTTTTCACCCGATCCTCATCGCCAACTCGGGTCAATCTTCCCGGATCCGCTTCATCTACGCCGTCCGTGTGGTTCTCGATCGACAACCGTTCGATCTCCGTCAACCAGAAGCAGAGAAACAAGCCGTTTTCGAACCAGAAGAAGACGTGTATGTGTTCTCCTACGACGCATCCAGGCTCCTTCCGCTGTAGTTTACACAAGAACGTCAGTAATCGTCATCAGCAGTATCGTAATACGGTGTCGTATCGTGCGAATCGGTTGAACGCTCGGAGATCGGCGATGACGAACTCGCTGGTGAGGATTGGGACTGTGGAAGGAGACTTGGTGAAGAGAGCTTTGTCGGCTTTGATTCGGCCTTCGTCGCATCAGCAGAGACGGCGAGCCGATTTTCAGCCGAGGCCGAGTCGGCTCTCGATAATGTCCAGAGCCGCCGGTGATTTATGAATTTTCTCAAAGCCGGCGTCGGCGAGATGTGTCGGAGATCTGTTTGATGGATCCGATTTTTTTTTTGTTTTTTGTTTTTTTGTTTTTTTGTTTTTTTGGAGATTGAAGATCGTAAATTAGCATAGAAAAATCGAACTTATTTGTGAATCTTTAGACTACATTGAAAATCGAGAAAAAAGAAATTAAAATTAAAAATTCAACCAATTCAATTGAGATTGAAAGCATCGTAATCACAGATTTTGAATTATACATATTTTATTTTATTTTTAACTTATTATTATTATTTGTAAATGAGATTTGTGATGAGTGCTGCTGTGTTGTTGTGGTCTTGCAGAGAGAGGTGGTTTGCCATTTGCAATGTTTATTGGTTAATTGTGTTGATTTTTGGATGGTAAAGCTTTGTTTGGCTACTGGAATTGTTGTAATGTGTAAGTAGGAAAATTATTTTGTGCGTCATTTAAATCAAATATTATTTTAAATTTTATGTTGGATTTGATAAATTTTTGTTTTGTGGGTTTTGATTGCAGGTGATGGAGTTTTCGGATCTTGATGTTGGCCAGACTGAAGGATCAAAGTTCCATTAATTCAAATTATGATCGTGATATGATATTGAGGATCTTGGGAGAATTTTGACTGAAAGTGAAAGAATTAAAATGCTGTGATGAAACCAATTGACTGAACCTCGGGCCTCTGAGATCTACCTTTGGACCGTTTGGATTTTGGATTCAATTTCAACACAATTAATTGAAAATCCGATTCAGGAAGATGAAAGCACAAATTGAAATTTAGGCCTAGTTTGGCAAGAGGCTATTTTAGTCAATTAGCCAAAAAGTTACTAAATTAGTCAAAAAGCCAACAACCCATACCAAAAAGTCAAAGATTCTCTTTTCTCTCTATTTTTTGCACATTTTTTTGTAATTAGCCAAAAAGTCATCCCAAACATACAAGTTTTTTTTACCTACCTTTTTAGTCAAATAGCCAAAAAGTTACTAAATTAGCCTGTTCTCAAACGAGGTCTTATTATAAAAAAAGAAAAAATAAATAAATAAAGAAAATTATACTATCAAAGTGTTGTTTGATAAATTAAAAAAAAAAAGAAGCAAAAACTTGATTGGCCTACGAAAGCAAAAATAAATGGCAAATATTAATAAGGGTAAATTATTGGTAAATCTCATTTAGAAGTGTTTTAATTTAAGAAGTTCATGAAGTAATTTTTTAACCCATTTAGTCCCATGTATGCATAATTTTATTCCATAAAGTCCTGTTTCTTGATTTACATTATTTTTTTGGATACTTATGCCCTTATATTTAATTTTGATACTCTTATAAATATTTTTTGAACGGTTAGTAATTTTATGATGTGAACATTCATATTTTAAAATTCACATTGGTAGGAATGTAAAATTGACCCGTGGGCTGCCCGAAACCCGCCAGCGAGCCGGGGCGGGCCCGGCCCGTTGACAATGTGAATGTTAACATATCAATGTGAATATTCACATTAATAGGAATGTAAAATTGGCCCGCGTCCTGTGGAGGCGCGAAACTCGCCCGCGGTCCATGGGCGGTCTGGGGCAGGCCCGGTCCGGCCCGTTGAAAATGTGAATATTCACATTGACATGTTAACATTCACATTGATAAGAGTATAAAATTGGCCCACGGGCCATGGCTGGCAAGACGCCCGCCGGCTGCTTGGGGCGGGCCCGGCTCGGCCCGTTGACAATGTGAATATTCACATTGATAGGAGTGTAAAATTAGTCCGCGCCTAATGGCTGCCCGAAACCCGCCCACGGCCCATAAGCGGCCCGGGACAGGCCCGACCCGGCCTATTGACAATGTGAATATTCACATTGACATGTTAATATTCACATTGATAAGAGTATGAAATTGGCCAGCGACCCAAGATGGGCCCGACCGGACCCGGCCCGTTGACAATGTGAATATTCACATTGACATGTTAACATTCATATTGATAAGAGTATAAAATTGGCTAGCGGCCTAGGGCGGGTCAGACCCAGCCCGTTGACAATGTAAATATTCACATTAACATGTTAACATTCACATTGATAGGAGTATAAAATTGGCCAGCGGCCCAGGGCGGGCCCGACCCGGCCCGTTGACAATGTGAATATTCATATTGACATGTTAGCATTCACATTGATAAAAGTATAAAATTGGCCAGCGGCCCAAGGCGGGCCCGACTCAACCCGTTGACAATGTGAATATTCACATTGACATGTTAACATTCACATTGATAAGAGTGTAAAATTGACTCGCGTCCCATGGGCTGCCTGGGTTTGGGTCCGGGCCTACTCGGGCAGCGGACAAATTTTACACTCCTATCAATGTTAATGTTAACATGTCAATGTGAATATTCACATTGTCAACAAGCCGACCCGGGCCCGTCCCCAGGTCGCCTATGGGTTGTAGGCGGGTTTCGGGCAGCCACGAGGCGTGGGCTAATTTAACATGTCAATGTGAATATTCACATTGTCAACAAGCCGACCCGGGCCCGTCCCCAGGTCGCCTATGGGTTGTAGGCGGGTTTCGGGCAGCCACGAGGCGTGGGCTAATTTAACATGTCAATGTGAATATTCACATTGTCAACAAGCCGACCCGGGCCCGTCCCCAGGTCGCCTATGGGTTGTAGGCGGGTTTCGGGCTTATGTTCCATTTAGTTCACATTATTTTCTTATGTTTCAATAAGTCCTATGGGTGACATAATTACCAAAATACTCCTAATGTGAATGTTCACACCGTCAATGTGAATGTTCATATCGTCAATGTGTAAGGGCCCGGCCCATATCGATCCTCGTGGGTGTCCGAAAAAATTCGAGTCTAGTTGGGGCGGGTCCGACCCATTGACAATGTGAACATTCACATTGACATGTTAATATTCACATTAATAAGAGTGTAAAATTGGCCCACGTCCCCTAGCGGCGCGAAACCCGCATACGGCCCATGGGCGGCCCGGAGCGGGCCCGGTCCAGCCCATTGACGATGTGAATATTTACATTGATATATTAACATTCACATTGATAAGAGTATAAAATTGGCTCGCGGCCCATGGTCGGCCAAAAGCCCGCCCACAGCCCGGGGCAAGCCCGGCCCAGCCCGGCCCAGCCCATTGACAATGTAAATATTCACATTAACATGTTAATATTCACATTGATAGGAGTGTAAAATTAGCCCGCGCCTAATGGCTGCCCGAAACCCGCCCACGGCCCATAAGCGGCCCCGGACAGGCCCGGCCCGGCCTATTGACAATGTGAATATTTACATTGACATGTTAATATTCACATTGATAAGAGTATGAAATTGGCCAGCGACCCAAGGTGGGCCCGACCGGACCTGGTCCGTTGACAATGTGAATATTTACATTGACATGTTAACATTCATATTGATAAGAGTATAAAATTGGCCAGCGGCCTAGGGCGGGTCCGACCCAGCCCGTTGACAATGTAAATATTCACATTAACATGTTAACATTCACATTGATAGGAGTATAAAATTGGCCAGCGGCCCAGGGCGGGCCCGACCCGGTCCGTTGACAATGTGAATATTCATATTGACATGTTAGCATTCACATTGATAAAAGTATAAAATTGGCCAGCGGCCCAAGGCGGGCCCGACTCAACCCGTTGACAATGTGAATATTCACATTGACATGTTAAATTAGCACACGCCTCGTGGCTGCCCGAAACCCGCCTACGACCCATAGGCGACTTGGGGACGGGCCCGGGTCGGCTTGTTGACAATGTGAATATTCACATTGACATGTTAATATTCACATTGATAAGAGTATAAAATTGGTCTGCGGCCCATAGGCGGCCAAAAGCCCGCTCGCCGCCCGGGGCGGGCTCGGTCCGACCCGTTGACAATGTGAATATTCACATTGACATGTTAACATTCACATTGATAGGAGTGTAAAATTAGTCCGTGCCTCGTGGCTGCTCGAAACCCGCCCACGGCCAATGGGCAGCCCGGGGTGGGCCCGACTCGGCTTGTTGACAATGTGAATATTCACATTGACATGTTAACATTCATATTGATAAGAGTATAAAATTGGCCAGCGGCCTACGGCAGGCCCGACCCGGCCCGTTAACAATGTGAATAATCACATTGACATGTTAACATTCACATTGATAAGAGTGTAAAATTGGCTCGCAGCCCGTGGGCAGCCCGAAGTCCGACTGTAGCCCGAGGCGGGCTTGGCCCGACCCGTGACAATGTGAATATTCACATTGACATGTTAGCATTAATATTGATAGGAGTGTAAAATTTGCCCGATGCCCGAAGCTTGCCCGCAGCCCGGGGTAGGCCCGGCGTAGGCCATTGACAATATGAATATTCACATTGACATGTTAAAATGCACATTGATAGGAATGTAGAATTGGTCCGCGGCCCGTGGGCTGCCAGAAGACCACCCACGGCCCGGGGCAGACTCGTTTCGGTCCAGGCCCAAGTATCTCTGAGACCTTAGGTCTAGTTCATCACTTTGAAGCCCGGCCCGGCCCATCAGCCCGCTTAAGGCCCATTCAAGGCTTGGTCCGAGGCCCAGTCCGCGCCGAGGCGCAATGTATTTTTTTGTGGAAAATAATAAAATTTGGGTAAAAAAAATTTAAAAAAATTAAAAAAAAAATGGCCAGGCCTGTCCAAGCCCGACCTAAGCTCGAGGCTAGGCCCAGGCCCATCGGCCTGACCCGAGGCTCGATCCATCGGCCCGTCCAAAGCCCGAATACCCTTATGCCAGGGCTAGGGCCTAGGCCTAATTTTTTGGCCCATGTGCCGGCCCGGGAAAAGCTCGTTTGGGCCCAGGCTCGAGCCTAGTCCGAGAGCCTAGGTTAGGGCCTGGGCCATCACTTTGAAGCCCGGTCCGGTTAAGGCCCATTCAAGGCCCGGCCCGCGTCGAGGCCTAGTGTCTTTTTTTTGTGGAAAATAATAAAATTTTGGTGGAAAAAATTAAAAAGAATTAAAAAAAAATGGCCAGGCTCGCCCCGGGCCACCCACGGGCCGTGGGCGGTTTCGGGCAACCACGAGGCACGAGCTAATTTTACACTCCTATCAATTTGAATGTTAACATATCAATGTGAATATTCACATTGTCAACGGGCTGGGCCAGGCCCTCCCTGGGCCGCTGGCCAACTTTATACTCTTATCAATGTGAATGTTAACATGTCAATGTGAGTATTTACATTGTCAACAGGCCAGGCCAGGGCCGCCCATGGGCCGGGGCGGGTTTCGGGCAGCCACGAGGTGTAGGCTAATTTTACACTTC